AAGGACAGACAGCGGAGAGATGAAAATACTAGAGGCAGCAGCCCTGTGAATGAAGTGCTCGGGTTCATTACAAAGTGCCTCTTGCCTGGCTCGAACTTCACCTGCTTGAAAGGTTAGGGTTAATGATTTTGTGCTCTCGTCTCATTGTTTCCTTATAGGCCTTACAACTCAAAGATACAGTGACACAAATATAGGCACAATAATAGTGTAATGACCATTTTCCAGTGGTTGTAAATGCCTGTCAGGTATGTGTTTACTTTTCAAGTTGCCCTTGTTCCTAAATCCAAGTCACACAAGGGTCTCTATAGAAAATGTGACTGGTTGCAAGAATGGTCTGTTCTGTCTCAAGAGTGGCTCAATAAGGAGAGTAGTCAATGTGGCTGCTCTCAAACGGTGGGTCCATGAAGGGAGGAGGCTTCCTGCTAGGCCTAGGGTTGAATGGAAGAGAACAGGGGGTCTTTGTGTGGAGAGCAGCCCCTTTCCAGCTTAATATATATTGCCTTTTCTGGGATGTTACCCCTAAAATTGGGGGGCTGTGTAATATACTACAGGAATTGTAAATTGTTGGTACTGAAACAGAAGTTGATCCTTGTCACAAAAGTGAGTTTACTGGTTGCTCTACACTTGGCACAGTTGATGTTTGCCAAACCAATACTAGCTCCATGTCTTTATTTTGCATCTCTTGTCTGAGATCAAGGGAGAAACTGGGAGGGAGAAAGCAAGGCAGCATGCCAGGCCACCACCTTAAACTGGGCACCCAAACCTTTTATGACTGCTGAAAAAAGTGGATTTGGGACTGATGTAACAGCATGTACTTATCAATCAGAAAACCTCACATTCCCCTGCTCTCCACTCACTTGTTCTCGCTGCAGAGGTTTGTTGGGCTCCAGTTCTTGTTACCATTGCTAACTCTGAGAGACGAGACAGTCCAAGTAACTTCAAAACAGTGCTGATTTATTCAAAGGATCACAGGTAAAATTAACATTACACGCTCAGGTATCTTGCACCTCCAAACTGCTCGCAGGCAGATGTAAGATGAAAGACCCTGAACCCACCAGGCCTATACATTATATCCCCTCGGTTGGGCTAGCCCCATACTACACAGAAACGTCAACCAGGACGTCTCTGTTACCAGCTTTGCAGCTGGCCATAGCAGTAGTCAAAACATGAAGTAAATCAATGTGTGTGTGTGTCTGTTGATTAAGTGGTGTGTAGCTAAAAACATTCTCACATGACCTCTAGTGACATGTCGTGACATTAAACATAAGAACATATTATGGCTAAGGCTACAGTTATACACGTCATAATAATATTAAACACCCTGTCTGCTGACAGTCATCAACTCTTCTCTCTAGTTATCCTTGACCAGATGTACCCTGTAGAAACTCATAAGCATGACTAAGCATTTAACAGTCTAACTAGACATCCTATTTCCACTAAACATTTCTTCCTATTTTTCAGAGACAAACTGGGGCTCCCACACTGCTTGTCTTGAATAGATTAAACTTCCCACACTGAAATGTGGTTTCTGACACTTACTTCCTTTAACTCTACATCCATTTTTTAAAAAGCTGGCAGTGTTTTTCCGCAGCATGAAAGTGTGAGTGTGTTTTCTATCGCACCTATAAGAAACATTTGAGAAAATACATTTTTTCTGCTCTGCTTTGTGTTACTTAGTAAAACAGTCCTCTGCATATTTTTGATAGTTACATTACAAGACAAAAAAAAACCTAGTGAGAGACAGAATTCCCTATTGTTGTAAAATTCACCAAATTTCCTTAATTATATTTGGTTTGGTTAGCAAGTTTACCCTCACTTTAATGATTTACGGCAGCAAATCTACTGCAGTTTCTTCTTTTGTTGTTAGTTAACAAAAGTAAACTTTTCCTTTTCCTGGCTCATTTGGCCAGCAAACATATTTTCCAAATGCTCTTTGATGCCCCCGATGGTTAGAGCCATCGGTTGAGTTGGCGCTGCAGATGGCTGTCTCGGTTCTGTACCGGAAACAAATTCCTTGTGTGTGTAACATAATTGGCCAAATAAATGTGATTATCCTGTTCAGACTTTTAATATTAACCAGTAACATTGGATTTATGGGCTACAGCTTCACACATGGATTTCCATCATCTTCTTCTTACCCTGTAGAAATTACTATAGCTGAAGTTTGGAAGCCTTTATTGATATTTGGGAGTTGTTGTTCCTGCGGGACCCAGTAAACACCAGGTTATGTGTTGTTCTATTAAAACCTCATGTTGCTTTTCATCAGAATATTTGTTTAGTCTGCATGTAGTGGGGCCAGCATTGATTTCACTGCCCCAGTGTTATTGGAGATTGGACTTTGACCACCACCAGTGGCATCTCTCTTTTGTTTTCTTGCCTGTTGGTGTCTGTGCTTATCTGTCTGCACCTTGACTACTTCTGCTGGTAATAGCTTTTGAGGGAAATGATTCCAGATGGAGATAATGTGGATGTTGCGAAAAAGAAAGTAAGTGTAGTTGAGAACAATCCAGCCCCTTGGGCTGCCATCAGCCTGTCCCACCCCCCAGTCCAGTCTTCTTTCCCTGCCCTGTTCTGCTGACAGTAAATGTTGTTTCTGCAACTGAAAGCAGATGGTTGGCCATTTTGTCCAACAGTAGAGCTGAAGCTAAGCCCTCCCCTACTGCTCCTACGCTAGGGATAAAAAGCTGCTAAAGGCAACTGTTTAGGCTCTGATAGGATCCTGTAGGGTCTTCAAGCTCATTCAGTTTCCTCCTCAAATAGAGAGTGGATGAAGATGGCTTTTTGACAGGAAGATAGCCAGACTTTGGCCTGGAAGCTCTGCCCAGTTCACCCACCCAGTGTTCCAGCAGCATAAAGCAGAGATGATTAAGCATGCCATGGTGCCTCTGGTCTGCTGGAGTGACAAATTCCCCCCTCTGCTCCTCCATTCTGGTCTCTCTCCATCTGTCACGTACACCACCAGCAAAATATGTTTGCTGCTCAACATGTACACTGGGCTGCTCTGACGTTATCGATTTCCTGAAATCAGCTGCCTACTTAAGTCTAATTTAAAACCACTTGCTGCTAAGAGATACAGTTGAAAATGCGTTGCGCTGCCTTCGGAAGTGGAATATTTACTGCTGTTTATTCACTTAAATCTCACCTCCACTTCTACCTGAGGGATTATTCAAAATATGTAATATTTGAGAACTTGGGCTGTTTGATACAAGTTTGATATTTTAAAATATTGCTTTACTTGCATCCTGCGTATAGCTGCACATTACACGGAGTAAAATCAGATTTACTTTGGGACACAAACTTAACTTCTGTAAAAATGGCACTGCAGCGGCCATATGAGGATGCACTATGGGTAAGATGTCAACCAACAAAATGTTTATGTTCCAAAATAGTTTCTCTTTGTGAAGGCGCCCTGCTAAGCTTCAGTCAGAGGCACCGAACTCCAACACTGCCCACTCAGACAAAATGAGGGTGCTCTTTTTGTTCTTTCGGTTGTAGTTCTCTCCATCAGCGAATTAGTGTGTAGACGATTGCTCAACTTAGTTGGAACGTCATGTTGTCTTTCATTTATTCTCTAAAGTGAAAGTAGAAAATATCTCTTCATTTACATCATTTTCTGCAGTGTTTTGCTGTAATTGTGCTTTCAAGAGAAGTGAGCGCGCTGAGAACAAGCGGCCTTATTGCCATTGTAATGGACCACCTATTACATTGCTTCTCTCATCAGACCCTACATTAGGGACTTGGTGCCGCGAGGCAGAGAAATTACCTTCCAGTAGTTAAATAGCTGAACCATTGACATAGCATCTCTCTTTCTCCCTCGTTTTCTGTCTTCCTCTCTTCCTATCTATTGGTGCTCTCACGCTCCCCTGGGGACATGCCATTTCCTTGGAAGAGAGCAGCCATATTTTAAACTGCATTTAACATTCAGCCCCTTATTTCACTCCATTTGTTGCATTATTAAAATACCTTCATACCCTCTTAATTATTTTTTCAGCTCTTTCCC